GCTCAAATGGTCAGCCAGTCAGGTGAGGGTTCGTTGCAGTCTAGCGTTAAGTAACCAATGAGAGCACTCTAGCCTCGTTTTACTTAAATATAAATACTAAATTAATACTGTTGCATACATATAAGCAACTTAAATGGTTTTCTATAGTTCTTTTTCCGTCCCTAGCTTTTCTTAGGCAGTTACTCAGAGAGACAGACTGTGAGATGGATAGGGAGACATGCAGAGAGAGAGACAGTTCTTCAAACAAATATACAGACAAACAAATACGCATAATTAAATCGGATTGTCTCATTACGCTGTATAAGAATATATATGCTTTTTAAAGGAAATGTTGATATAATATGTTAATATTTATAATAATTAAATGGCAGACACTGCAGTTTAGCACTATCGCTCTGTATACTCTTCTTCTATTTCTGGCTATTCCACTTTCAGATAAGCTAGATCTAACCTGAAATAGACTAAACTGGCAACACTGCTCTTAAAGCAACTTAGCTGTTGATGCTCTCAGTTTCTTTGAATTGTAAAGTTAATCAACTAATTTAGTTATGTATGCTCGTCCTTCTTAGTAGTTTTGTATGAAAACTATTGTTTAGTATTAAATCTTTCGGCTTGACTTCATAAAGTTCTACTGCGAAAGCTGTATATATGCTCCGTTTTGTAAAGGGCTATTTTCAAATTAAATTATATTTTATTTCATTAAATTATGATTGAGTTGTATTCATTCATAGCTTTGTCTATACAAAATATAATTATTAAACATAGGACACATGTTTTCATTATTCTATTAGTATACATCTATTATGTAATGAAACTTGCATATAATCCATTGTAATGAAACTGAAATCTTATACTCGTATATAAGAGTCTTTTTACACATTGATAGTACAATCAATCTCGGTTTTATATATTTGTACCCAAAATATGAGTTGGCATATATTCCATATCTTGTATAATTTACGAAACAGCTAAAAACTCTTTTATAAAATTAATTTCTGTTCGTGCTAAATCGATTATATCAATCATGATGATTTATTAGTAGATGATGGTAATTGTAACATAAATAAACACTGAGCTGTCTCCGAATAACTGACATTGGCTATAGTTGAGCTAGCCGATTCATCGATCAATAGCAGCCGCAGAGATGCAGCCTCCAGTCGAAGGCAATCCTAAGCTAACCCAGAGCCGTTGAAGCGATTTTATTTGATTCTCTTCATTAGCTGTTTTCCTTTATCCTTGCCTTTTGCGCGCTTTCTTATTTATCATCATTTATTTAAGCGATTCTCTGCTGTGTGGCACGCCTTTAAGCCCGTTCCCGAAGAAAGGAGTCCGAAAATTGTCGCTGTCAGATTACGGTGCAATATTGCTTCCAGTTGCCATATCCTGCTGCCTTTCCGCCTAAACTCACGCCGTAGTCGACCTCGTCAGGGAAAACGGAGACGACGAGGACGTGCGACCCCCTTTTTTTGGCTTTGACACAAGCAACAATTTACTCGGTTTCAGGTTAAAGTCATATCGTTAGCATTAACGCTTTTTGATTTTTATTGAGTCAGCTAAATTTTATTCGATTTGCCATCCATACACATGCACAAAACACAAATACTTGTACACACACAGACTCACACACACACACACACACTCACTCTTGGCACGCATCCCCCGTGACGGCAGGGCTGAGCAGCACAGCATAGACAACAACACGCGTGGGGGAGGAATATTTTCGAGCTTTAATGATGTTGGGCGACCAACCAATGAACCCGCGGGCTTGTCAAGCATTTTGGCTTGGGCAGTGGTGCAAGCGACGGTGCGGAGCTGCTGGGGTAACCTGTTTTCCGAGAGTCTATTTGGGAAGTAAATGAAAATTTGATTTGGAATTTCGTGTGCGTGGTGCGTCGTGCGCTATTCGTATAGATCCCCTCTGCACGATAATGCTGATGAGGACGTCAAAGTCGAAGATGGGCATGTGATAAAATAAATTACGGGCAGATTAGTGCGAATTTAATTATCATTTGTTCCTTTGATGTAGCTCTGGGTAAATAAATAGAATAAATACCGTGCATAAAGATTATTGGAAGCAGTTCCCGCCGTGGCATTTATAACCTCATTATCTCTGGCCCTCGGTTTTCGGCAAGGAAATTGCAATAAATATCCTGCATTATAATTTGCTCAAGGCATACATACATAGAGAGTGTCATTGAAAGTATTGCCTACTTTGCAGGTTGTATCAATGCAATTTGTAATTCTCAAACGGTTCTAGCAGCTCAGCAATGGAAACCCCAGCCCAGAGTCGAATTAGGCATACTTACCTGGCGCAGAGGTAAACCGTGATCACGAAGGCGGTTCCTCCGGAGTGAGGCTTGGTCATTGCACATTCGGCTGAGTTGACCTCTGCGATTATTCCTAATGTGAATAACTCGTGCGTGTAATTTTTGGTAGCCGGGAATGGCGTTCGCGCCGTCCCGACATATATTGATAAATACGATCTCATATTTGCGGCATCTGGTTCATTCGACATCGACTGTTTTTTTAGTCCGAAACTCAGCTCGACCGTCGTAAATACGAGTATAAGGTGGTTTCCTTAAATCGGCTTAGCTTTGCTTAAATGGTCTGCTCTATGTGGTGTGTGCCGGTTGCCTGTGGTTACGGCTTTCAGTGCGCTATCTCCGTGGATATTATCGCCATCGTCGTCGTCGTCATGTTGGATTTGATGACAGTTGCGAGAAGACGCACTTGCTTGCCGATGCAGATGTAGATGAGGGTGTGTGGGTGTGGCCAGAGTTTTCCAAAATGCCCAACCCTTTGACCAGCTTTGCTTATTGTTGCAGACGGCAGACGGGTTATGCATGGTTCTCTGCTTGCTACTCCCCTTTGAGGAACGTAATACCCTTGGCAACCAGTTAATTTATAGAGCTTAAACTGCCTGATGAAAGATGCAAATGCTCAACGATTTTTTGCAATTGGGATATGCAGGAGATGCTCTCGGCTTAAGTGTGATTTTTGTTATGGCAGCCCGAAACGAAAGTTTTCCTGCTCGAAATTCAGTCGCCCTTTAAATTTTGGTTTGTTCAAAAATCTGGCTCACAGTCAGTAAAAACTCATTCTTGCCTGGCAACGTGCCACCTCATATACCATATCAGCTGTGGAACATCTTATCTCAATATCAATCGCAATGATGAAATATCTATCAAGAGACAGTCGCAGTCGAGACACTCAGTCAGTCAAGGAGAAAGATAGACATGGCCAGTTGACTATTATTTGCTCGGCATGCTGTAACTGTGGCTGTAGCTTTATCTGCCCTCTTGGCGCTGTCAATGCCCATCCGTTCCTAACGGCTGCCGAACATTATTAACAACAACAACAATAGTTGCGCCGTCCAAGCCCTAGGCTAGAGCCAGGCAACCGCCCGCCGCCAGCCCTTTATGAGTGTTTCAATGAGAGCGAGTGTAGAGATGAAGACAGGCAGAGCAAGAGCTTCTACATCATCATCAACAACAACAACAACATCAACGTCAACGTGCTCGTCATCACATTGTATAAATATCCTCGAGCACGTATATTTCATGGAGACACGTGCTGCATGTTTGCGCGGGCCGGTCCAAGCCGTCAGAGGAGATTAATGTACGCATTAGTAGATTTAATGCATATTACGCAGAGCGCACGTCGTCCTCGTCCTCGTCATAGCCCTCGTCCTAGTTGGTGTTTATGTTGTTGCGATTGCCATTTGAATGGGTATTCCTATTGCCATTGCTATTGCTATTGCCATTGGTAGTGACGTTGGCGTTGTCTTGGCTACCATCGTCGCTTTTGTCATCGATACAATTGAGACATTCTGGGGAATACCCTGGCATTCAATTGTTCAGCCAACCCTTGTCCCTGTTACCGAGAGCCATTAAAATCTGTGCAAGCTGTAGTCACCTGGCTGTGGCACTTCGAATACCCTTATACCCTTGGCCGTAGCTCGTCTATTCTCATTCACCAAGTTGTGTGATAAATATCAAAGAGTATTTCACTGTCAGCGTGGATATTATGTTGTGCTGTTTTATATTACTGCGCCGGTTCTCAGAATCTCAGTTAAATGAGTTTCTAAGTAACATAGCTGCAGCTTAAACTTGCAGCAAGTACATAAAGGAAGTACTTATTATCCTTGCGACTTGAGTGAAGCCCTGAGGATATACTTCTATGCGAGTTTGAGCTCTCAATTAGTTCTGCATATCGCTTTACACACAATTATAAATTTCTAAATGAAGTTTGGCGTGCAGTTGCATATTTGGCTATAATTCCCGGCCCAATTCCTCCCTCAACATTAGCATTGAATTTCAATATATTTCATGGCTTTCAATCAATTTCAAGGCGAAGTCACAGCGGGGTAGCTACAACTCCCAATGGACCTGTCAAGAGTTTTGCAAACAGAGTCGAGGTCTGCCATCATCAACCACATCATCAGCATCAGCATCATCATCATCATCGTCATCATCATCATCATCATCATCTGCCGCATCAGCATCATTTTCATAGCTGTTCTCACAAGCTGCTTTATTTTAAGCAAATAATCGTCCTTTGAAGGTAAGAAACGGGCAGCCAGCGCAGCGCAGGACAGGACAGAACAGGACCTGCGATGGATGATCTGAAATGCGAATCCAACTGATGCTGAAGTTGTAACAGAAACAGAAACAGAACCAGAAACTTTCTGCAACGTGCACATTTTTTGTGGCAAACTTTTGGAAAGTAGATTAATTTGTAAAGCAGCTAACGCTTTTTGTTGGTGCCTGACGCATTTCAAGAGACTGCGGATTATGAATATAAAACTACAGCTTCCTTCCTTTGACTACAAGTAACTGTAGCCTGTATCTGTAACTGAGTGAATAGTTGTATATATCTGTTTATTTGTGTGTGTGTGTGTGTCTTTATATGCAAAAACTAAAACATAAAAGTTACTTAATTTTTGCCAAAGTTGCCAACTAACTGTTTTTTGATAATCATTCATATCTTGGTCTTTTTAGGAGCAGGACGAGCACCACCGGAACCCTACTATGGCCGCTACATTGGACAGTTTACGAACTTTGCTCATGGCATTAAGGTAGGCGGACTGACTGCACGGCTTCCACAATAGAAATTAGAGTTTCGTATGGTATTTTTTGCAGGGCTCCATTTATGCCGTGGACGAGTCAACGCTGTTTGTTAAATCCTTTGCCTATGATGGCACCGGACCGGATGCCTTCTTCTGGGTGGGCAAAACGGCTAGACCATCGCCCGAGGGCTATATAATACCCTATCCGGAGGAATATACCGGCTCGTATGTATCGCTGATGCTTCTGCAATGCACTGAGATTTGGTGGAATCTTGTGGGGTTTCAGCATGGGGCGACATTTCTGACGGCGTCCACTCGAGCGCAACGGGCCATTTCCTAACACTCGGCGTCTGCATATGCATATACATGTGTGTGTGTGTGTGTGGGATAGAGTGTGTGTATATGTGGGTGCGTGCTATATATCCTTGCAGATTTTACGTTACGCACGCCTGACAATGAAACCACTTTTAAAAATTAAAAAACATTTTTCATCTTGGCTGCCATTTGCGAAGTCGCTTTCGTTCCGTTCGCTTAATGCTTTATTATTGTTGTTATTGCTGCTGTTGTTGTTGTTGTTGTTGTTGTTGTTGTTGTTGTTGGTGTTGTCGCTTCGTTGCCTCCTAATGCGAAAAACTCATTTATTTCTTTACATTAGATCTGCGGTCATATGTATGTATTGTGTTTGGCGAGCCTGTGTGTATGAATATATGTATGTGTATGTGTGTGCTCGTAAGCTTGTGGCATTGGCAACAGCCCACAACAAGACCAAACAATGAAAGCCGCTGCCGCAAGTGCAGGCGAGCGAGAGGGGTAGCGAAGTGAGTGTGAAAGAGATAGATAGAGAGAGAGAGAGAAAGAAACTAAGAAAAGAACGAGTACATTTTAGCCGCATTCTGTTGGTATTTACTTGTAGTCCGCCCAGGCACAAGGTTATGCGTATTTTACTTACCTTGCTTTTTGCTCAGCGCCTTCATCATCCTGCTTAGCGAATGCCAGAATTGCCGGCTACTTGAACTGCACTAAGCCGCGCTGAGCTGCTCGGCTGCTGAGCTTGCTCCGAGCCGCATACTGACGCAGCGCACACAATTTGACGCCATTTGATGCCTGCTTAAGCATTGGGCACTTGGGGGCGCCTCAGTTTTTTTTATTTATTTATTTTTATTTTTTTTATTTTTATCATTATCATTTAGATATCAGTCTTATGCTCTTTGCGAAAATAATCGCCCTTTATCACATGCCAAGGTAAAGGTAAAGTACCAACACTTGTCACTGACATTCAGTCAGGTGCCTTAACAGTATTTATAGCTGGCATACCTCAGCATCGCTTTCCTGTCAGACCCCGCTCCGAAAGAAAATCTGATGTTGAACTGCCTTAAAATAACAATCATTGTGTACAAAAAATACATACATACTGACATATTTGCATGCGCATGCACGAAAAGTACTTTAGATCCATTCAATCCATTGAATATAGCCGACCAAGTGTGTTCAACTGGCAGGAGGAAGCCTGTATGACCTCATAATGGATATATATTTATATATTCTATCAGTTTATTTCTCGGTGTAAGCGATGCACAAATACTATATAAGAGAGGGCGACAGATCAAATATGGTTATATAGATATTCTAAAATATAGATGAATTATATAATAATATTAATATACATATATTTATCTAAAGAAGACTCAAGATTATTTTTAGAAACAATTTAAGCTAAAAAACTAAACAGAGATGCTTAAAAATTTAATTTAATATTGTATAAATTTATGTTATATAGAAAATATGGAGCAGATTTATAAAACACTGATCGCTGCTCAGGGAATCCTCTAGTCGCGTTTGAGCTTTCCCACTTCCATTCAATTACAAATATTAATATTATAAATAAACAAGTTTTCTGCGAACTTTGTGGGCAACTTATAATGTGCTATACAGTTTTAAGAATCTTACATATTTTTTATTAGACCTTCGAGCTTCCTCTGTCGCATATTGTGCTATAAACTTACATAAATACGTACACCTGCAATGAAATGTTAGCATCTATCAAGTAGCTTATTGACGACTGTGTGTGGCCCTGTATGTGTGCAAGCTTCTGTGTACAACGAACAATGCTGGAGCAGCAGCTTGGTATGTGACTCAAGGTATCTCCGTGTGATGCCGTGTCCCAGCTGGAGCACTCTCTCTTGTTGTTCATGTGCTTTCAACACACTGCGCAGAGGGAGTGGAAGTACTCCACTTAGTTATTCTTTTGTACTTGTGTGATGACACCTTTCTATTAGTATAATAATATTGTGTCAAAGCAAAGGTGTTCATGGAAATTACATCATAAAAAAATGAATTTTAAACGCATATATTTTTTATTGGTTTTTAAATGCCAGAAATAAAGCCATCATAATAAAAATTTAGAAATACAGATTGAGAGCAGAAAGTGCAGAGAAAATAATGTTTTGCTATGAAAGTTGACATTTTATGCTTTAGAATTGATTAAAAATTTAATATCAACTGCAATTCGAAAATTCAATATTGAATTGAGCTGAATTTTAGTTTCAGCTTGCAAAGGACGTCACATTCTCCCTTCTTCACTCTTGTCTTTAACCGTAATCTATGTATATAAATTGTAAATTATAAATATATTGACAATTTGAGAAAAAATATTAAGCCGATTCGCGAACTAAGAGATTTCTTGACAGATTTCCAATATTTTCATATGATATTCTGTTTTTATCCATAAAAAGAAAAGAAGTAAAATCAGTTTTCAGCATTTTGTTTTCATTTGCTGCTTTTGAAACGCTTTTTTTTACATCCGGCTTAGACCTTACTCCTGCCCTTGCGATTGTCACGCGGTTTGTGTTCCTGCTTGATGATGTGCACGGGCATGGGAGTGGGTATGCAGCCCATCTCTTCCTCACTCCGGCCTGCTGAAAGTAAAAACCCTGTGGTCCCCACCCGTCGTCAGCTTCATATTGTAATCGACTTTAATGCGTTTCATTGTTGATGCCACGTGCCGAGCTTTATTAGTTCAATGTATAACACTGGCATGCCTCATCCTCATGACACCGTCTCAAAAGCATATCGCGGCAGCACTACTGAACGTGTGTGAGTACATATATACATGTGTGTGTGTGTGTGTGTGTGTGTATCTGTGTATAAATATGGGGTGGCACCGTAGTTCCTGGCCGGAACGAGACGCGCCGCGGCAACGATTGCACGCTTTTACGCTTTCAGACACACACATTACCCATGCCACATGCCAGATGCACCTTCTTCTGTGTGTGTGTGTGTGTGTGGGGTGGCAGGTGGGCGCAAATGATTGCTGTATTATGTGGCGCCGTTACTAAGTGCTAACCATAGCATACATTTGGGCGAACTAATTGCGCGCATTTATTGTGTGTAATCATTTAGAAGCTTATTTGTATTTATAGATGCATGCATATCTTAATATATATGTAGAATAGAGAGTGACAGAGAGAGAGAGAGAGAGAGAGAGACTGAATAAGAGAGAAAAACTGACAAAGATGCTTTGCTGATGCTTCTGAGCTGAAGACGAGCAAGAGACTTCCTCCTCGACTATGATTTGGGCCTGGACTTGAACGGCTGCCAATCAGCTCTAATTATATAATACAGCCTTTAGTTGAGGAGCTGCTGACAGCGCTGCTCGCTTCCTTTTATAATCAAATGTGAGTGTGAGTATGAGTGTGTGTGTATGTCTCTCTCTTTCTCTCTCTCTCTCTCTGTCGCTATTTCTCTCTCTCTCTGTTGCTCTTTCTCTCGCTCTGTGTGTCACAATGGATGCATCAAGCATAAGTAATTAAATTAGAATTTTTTGAGAAGCATAAAAGCTGCTGTGACGCGCTTTTGATTAACGCCCCATTGCCATGACGACGCCCGTCGGCTGTTGCTCATTTGCTCATTTGCATTTCCAGCAAATTGTACAATGGCCAATGCAATTCCACCCTACTCCACGCTGCGCCCTCCACCCTATACCCTCCATCTCTCCTCGCGACTCTTCGCTGTTGATGAAGCTGATACTGATTTATGCTGATCTCATTAAAATGTGTTGCATGCAAAGTGGCAAAACGAAGTTTTTAGTTTTTATGCCCATTGTGAAGCGCTGCCAATGCAAAATTGTCAGCAGCCAGGGCCCATCATTTATTGTGTTAGCGTTAATCAACGTTGACAAAGCAGCGGCAACGCGCGAAAATGCCTCTTGCTGCTTCTGCCGACGGCTGCTGCTCGCCTTTAATGCCCTTAACTTAATTAATCAACAGCGTGAAAAACCCGTATTCAGCCCGGGAAACAACTCGATGACGCCAACAGCGACAAAACAGGCAAATGCCTCAAGTAGTTCCGCCTGTTGCTGGCACTTTTTCGCTCTGGCACCTTTAAAAGTGGCAAATCCTGTAGCTGAAATTTGAAGAAACTTAAGAAAGGGAGACAGAGAAAGTTAAATAAAAGAAATTCACTCCATATCAGATTCAAGAATATCCGCAATCTGAAATTTTGTGAATATCAAATTTATTTCATTAGTATTTAAATAAATTTTAAAACAATAATAAATTATGAGTAAAGTGTATTGAAATGAAGATATTTTAGAAGAATCTTAATCGACATCAAATTATAATTCAGTCTTCATTATTAGTAAATTTAATATTTAATAAAAGTTACTAAAAATGTAGGGATGGTGTATAGAATAGAATTTCCCAGCTGGTTAAAGACACTGAGATGTTTTGTTTGTAGTTTGACCCCTACTTTTTTAGGCCTTTTTTAACCACCTGCAGAAAATGTGTAATCCATGAAAAACATTGAGAATATTTGAAATTTGAATCATAATCTTGAAATATCATAAAATTCTTCTCTTATAATGACAATTTATTTATATTTATGTATATACAAATAATATATTCGTCACAATTATTGAGTATACAAATGTGTGTTTAATGTAATTATGTAATTGACATTGCAATTCAACAGAGTATTGAGATATAACTATTGAATGCAACTTAAACAACCGTAGAAAACTTCCGACAACTATGATTAATTTAACAACTTTAAGACCAAGCGGTCTTCCTCTAGTTCTTCTCAACTCTACGTTTCGTATCAGTGTTGCCATCCTGATAGGACTGTCCAAGCAGGACGCTCAATGAGCCTCGTCATGCAACTTCCCACACTTAGACGCATTTATTATTTCATAATAATGATATTGCATAAGGAACATTGTACAGAGTAGCTATGGGGGGTATCCAAGAGGCGTGACCAATAAAACATTCCACGAATTCCGCCCTTACGACACATTTTGTACTCGCAGACAAATTTAATTGAGTGGTCGTTGCCCGGGACTCATCTGGCTGGTGCTGATGCTGTTTGTGACGTGGATGGAGTGCAGCATCACCGCCGAAAATTAAACATTCATAATAATTTGTAAAATAGATGGGTGTATCTCCGTATACATATATATACAAACAAACATATATACATATATACGTACATAAGTCTGATGTTCGTTTGGGGGCGGATGATTGAGCCATGCTGGATGGGGGCACTGTGTGACGGTTGTCGATTGCCGTCTGCTGAGTTTGCTCGTTTCATTGCCTGGATGGTGGGCCAGACGCGATAGCTGTGCCTTTCCGCAACGCAAGCAAATGTGAAACGTCAGCCAGCTAGCAAAGGCAAAAGGCACAAGGCAAAAGGCACAAGCTAAAAGAACTCAAAGAACAGAAACAAAAATATGGCAGAGCAACAAGTTGAAGCATTCAACGTAAATTGTGAACGCAGTCAAGTCAATAACTAGTGATTGACACACTGAACTCTGTTCTCGTTTTGCAATAGCTCTGCTCTTTGGTTTTTGGTTGCTAGACAAACAAACATGGCTGTTGCGGGATGCCTGCAGGACACAGGACGCAGGACAGAGGACACACTCACAGGCTTTCAAACTAATTGGGCGAAAGTTCGTCTCTCTCTCTCTCTCTCTCTCTCTCTCTCTCTCTATGTATGTGGGTGCGTGTGTCTGTGTAGGACCATCGAAAACAAATAACAATAGGAAAATCGATAAATCCTTATGGATTTGTGTGCTGAGTGCATCAATGTATCTGAATCTTGAGCCCGCACAGCACAGCAGCCGTAGTCAGTAGCAAAAGCAGACCCGTAACTCAAATAAAGTGCGATACAAACAGACGTATTTGCAATGCGAAAACCAAAGTCAAAGGCAAATAGCACTCCGGGGGAGGCAGAATGTGAGGCTGCCTGACAGCCGGGCGAAATCAAAATGAATCTGTCTCACAGCTAAACAGATACACACATTCGTCGCACTGTTGACATAGAACCATTCAATTTATTTTGGGCTCATTAAAGGTCAACACGGCGCCCAACCCTCAGCCCGAATGTCCTCTCGAGGGTGTAAATTAAGTGCTTAGCCGTGTCCAATGTTTAATGTCGATTGCGGCCTGTCTGACACTTGTTACGCAGCGCACAAAACTGACGAATTGACTGACTGACTAACTGACAGCCGTTGCCGCCCTCACTTGCTATTTGCTGTCACTGAACTTAGCACATGACGGATTACTTATATGGAATATAATAATCAGCGGAAACACAAAAAGTCAATTGTAAATTATAACAAAGATGAGTTGTGTGATCCGAACAGGCACTGATTAGCCTGTATATTTTTAAATTAATTAATTTAATTATTATTACATATATTACAATCAAGTTGAGAGTGGCATGAGCATTAAATATATGAGATGTCAATAGCTTATAAATTATTATACGAATAAAAAGATAACTGCCCTGTGGAATCAACACTGGTAGAATGTTATCATGATACTCTTCCATTTCTCTATCACCACATAAACTAAAATCAAGTGTAATCCGTACTTGTCAAATATGCAAGCTTCCCCTCGAGATAACATATAGAAAGTCTGTCTTATATTATAATATTTTATATAGTAAGCCTCTTAACAAAAACTTCAATGTTTTATATTCGCCTATATTAGATATCTGATCGGAATAGCATGTCATGTAAATCGTATATCCTTATCAGTTCATATAAAACATATAATATTTTGCGAACATATGTAAAACCTTTAGTTTGACAGATAATATCGACTGCACATAAAAATTACAAAACAAATTCCCTGCTACGTTTAGTGTATTAGAACGAGTAGCATAGTAACAGAATACTCGATCTAGCCCAAAACTCAAAGCCAGATCCACTTTCCGATTTCGGAAAAATCTTAGGTATAAGAGTTTATATTTCATAATTAGAAATATTCGTATGCTCACATTCAGGTAAAATTCGTTCTTTATATGAATTTTTAATAATCCAGCTATGTAATTAAGTTTTGCAAGTTTCCAAGTTGGCTTCAGTTTATGGGCATAATTGTGTTTATATGTACATTTGGTAAATGTGTAGCAGCTATAGAGCTCTGTGCGCAGGCAAACACAGAACATGCAGGATTATTGGGGTGTGGGTGGGAGCATTGTGACATGGCTCGCATCGTTGCATTGGCCATAAATCTTCATCATAGTCAGCAAATGCAGCAAAAGGACCACCAGAAAAGAAAAAAAAAAAAAACAGCATCAATGCTATGATACTCTGTAACCAGCTCAAAGGTATTTAAGGAGCCACAAAATAAGACATGTAAAAGTCTGTAAAAATATAAAAATGTGTATATTTTTCTCAATACTCATATGAAAAGGAATTGATAATAAATGAGCTCCCTTTTTCAATGGGTATAAAAATACCCATTTTGCTAAGAGCATATTCCATATTAAAATATATTTTTCTGCACAAAACTGTGTGAAACGATAAATTTGCTCCAATTCTGTCTGTGTGCAAAGCAAGTAATATGAAATGATTTTCAAATTGTAATATCTTGTGGTTTATTGATTCAATTGATCAAAGTAGAAAGAGATAACATGAAATGCTTGCACTTGGATATTGAATATATTAATTGGCTGTGCACTCGCTTGTAGCAAATTACTGAAAAAGATGACGCGAAGAACAGAGAGAGATAGAGAGAGCGATAGAGAGAGAGAGAGAGAGAGAGAGAGAGAGATAGGCGGGGAAGATAGGGTTTACTACAATGCCATAGACAGCCCATATACATGGTTGACATTGTGGAATTTTCCGGGTGGTTTTGCTTTAATTTTAATGACACTGCAACTACAAGCACTCGTCAATATTGACAGGGCAAATTGGAGGCGTGCTCTGTTGTCCATTATTGGATCAAAGACCAGCCTTGAGGCCACAGGACTGCATTCAGTGGCAGTGGGCAGCCGGACAAGCGGACAAGCGGACAGGCAAGCTGGCAGAACATTGTCCTGATAGCTGCGCACTTTTAATAAGCGCTGTGTAAGCTCAGTTCACACTGAATCGAGATGGACCGATGTATGGACGTAAATGGATGGGTTGGATATATGCGAAGTGCTTCTTAGGTGGATTTTGAACGACTTTATTGGTGCACTTCGAACAAAGCCCCCGCTTTATTGACTAACTACTGTTTCTTTCTCTTTTCATGGCGGCCCGCAGTGATCCGCCCGTTCTGCAGGCGCACAACAATACGGACATCATACTGCGTTTACCCATGGGCAAAAGGATTAAGGACATTCGATGGCTCTCGGTATGGTGCAGACGCTTTACGGTAAGTCCTTCCATTTTGCCGCTTTTCTTGGATGCTCGAAACGGCACGCGCCGTCCGAATAGATTTATGTGTGTTGTTAGTGCGGACCAAGACCATTTTGTAATTACATTTTTGTAATTTAACTGCAGCTGGATAAAGGCTTTTCCCTCCCATCCCCCGCCCTGTTCGTCTTTCGCCTGTGTGCATTACGCTCATCCAGAGCAAAGTTGCAAGCATCGATTTACTCTTGCGTTTTTTTTCCTTCATTTTTTTCATTTTGTTATTTTATTTTATTTTTTGATTTTTTTCTGGATGCTGCTCCTGAATGTGGGTCAGTTTTGTTAGCCAAGTGGAAAGTTTGTTTTCATTAGACTTTTTAGATTTGTAATTACATTTTTGCATAGACAAATGCGCATCCGAAAGCCAAGAGTCCGACCGCTCCCCATTTCATGCAGCCCCAATCCATGTGCCGGGATACACACACAAGAGTAAAATTCCTTTTCGAGCTGAAATGGAACTCACTTCTGTTTAAGCTCAGCAAATAAAAATGCATTTAAATTTCAAAATAAAGTTTTGCAAGCTATGTGAACTCTTTCAGCTTCACTTTTCTGGGGGTTGGAGTTGGTCATTGGGCGTTGGGCGTTGGGGCGTGGAGTTGGGGCTGACGTTGTGTGTGACCGGGTGGAGCTGTGACAGCCAAAGATGGCCGCCATGGTAAAATAAATTACAGCAGACATTTTTGATTAACTCAAGTGGTTGCATATATGTATGTACATACACATAAATAGGCACACATACTAGCAAACACTCTAGCGTATACACATACCAGTACAGAGAAGCACCATACAGGGTGTCGAGTTGTTACTGTTTTAAATACATATACGTACACGTATACGTGTGTCTGTTTGCGCCCTTGTGGCTGTATTTGTGTTACGCACACTCTCTGTTTCTCCGCTTCCATTGACTGACAGCCAAAAAGTTCTTGGGGGCTGACACACACACACACACACACACACAAACACACACAAACACCTACACACTAGCGCATGCTGCTCAGATTGGGGGTTTGTTCGCTTCTGTGTATTTGTGTGGTTTTATGGAGTTCTGCGCGCGCATACCTATTTTTTGGGGGGTCCTCACAAGCCCAATTCAATGTATATAAAGCTTTTATATACAAATATTTTGGTATACAACAACAGCAAGGTAAAAACTGAATTTAATCCGACCCTACAAATACACTAATTACTGTATGCGCTTTCTCAATTCATTCCATCTATTTATGTTTACGTTTTTGTCTGATTTTCCTTGTGTTTCAGGTCGATTTCGGTGAAGTCTTCATACCGCCGGGTTTAGATGTGCCCAAGCCTCGAGTACTGCCAGAGTTTAGACGCTTGGCCCACGGACTTCGCTCCAGCAACATAAGCGTTCTGGACGCCAAAACCTTTTATATGTGAGCTTAATCTGTAGAAAGTCTAGTCCCCTTTGTTATCAGATTAGTATATTCTCGGTATCGTTCATTTTTCAGTCCCAATCTGCACTATGATGGCGCCGGACCCGATGCCTATTTCTGGGTGGGCAATGGCAGCGAACCGAATATTATGGGCATTAAGGTATGTACTAGGGGTTTAATATAGAAATGTTGCATATGAAGTATAGAATTAATGTGTTTTATAAACATATATATTTATCACAATATTTGATGATTTAGGTACCCAATGAGGTAGGATCATTGGACCCGTTGCGTGGCTACCAGGGCGAGGATATCGAGATTCAATTGCCCGGCAGTTTGACCGTTTACGACATTGATTGGCTGGCGGTATGGTGCGTGGAGTACAGACACAACTTTGGACATGTCTTCATACCCAAAGACCTGGATGTGCCGCCTGCATTGGGCCAGACGAAAATTACGGTAGGTGGCAAGTAGCCTAAATCAGCAATTGAATTGAAAACACACACATATACATACATATATGTATATCACACACATGCATATATATTTACATATGTTAGCCAATCGCACATTTGCACTAACACTAACACAAACCTGTATTTAATCATATACTCGTTCCCACACAACTCATAATTGTATATCTCTTTAACCCATTCGCGCCGCATTAGCCATCATGGTGGTATTCACCCGTAAGTACTAGCCCTGGCCACACGCATGCTGCAAGTCCTTTTGGGGAATCTCTTAAACTTATTTCTCCTTTCTGCTGTTTTTAGACAACAACAACACCGCGGCCCGTCTACTCCAATTGTCGTGAGATTCTGCCGAATAAGCTGCAGGTTAAGTGGGAGCTCCAGGGCGAATACGTGCAGATCGAACTATTCGGACGCATCAGCGAGGATCAGTATATGGCCTTCGGTCTATCCGGAGCCAACGGGCGCCCACAAATGGCCCAGTCCGACGTTGTGGTGGCTTTCTACGATTCGAACGCTCGAGTGTTCCGCGCTGAAGACTATTTTATCTCCGATCTATCCCAGTGCGACGGCCAACGTGGCGTCTGTCCGGATGAGCGACTTGGCGCACGCAACAACGTGGTTGTGGGTATGTAACCTTCCCTAATTGCCTTTGCGCAAGTTGACTCAGATTTCGCATATGCAGTTAGTGGAGATCGCAAAGGCGGCGTCACCAGCATTCGCTACAAGCGCCTGCTGCAGACCAATGAAGCCATCTACGACATGCCCATACCCATCGATCGCGAGGTGTCGATCATTGCGGCCGTAGGACCACTCAATGCCCGCAAGGAGGCCAACGCCCACTCGCACACTGCCAGCGATCACAATCCCGACGACATTCGCATCAACTTCTCGAAGCGGGTGAGCTGCAACTAAATCTACAATAAATCAAAGTCGCTTAACTCTCTGATTTACCTCTGCTTGCAGAACGATCACTCGTGTAAGAACTCGCTGTATGATATCAAGGACGAGAGCGGCCCCAAACCGTGGCCTACGCTCAAGATCAAAGGGGAGCAGAGGTTCCGCGCTAGCATTGGAGCCACAGGGGGCAAGCGTGGATATACAGCGATTACGGGCATACCTTCATGGGGCATTGCCTGGTACATCAACGATCTTCTGATTCCCGAAATAACTGTGGAACGTGGCTTGACCTATGAGTTCATAATCGAAGGCGGCAACGATCCTGCACAGCCAGCCAGGCAAGTTCCAATTATATACTTAACTTTGGCATAGTAATAATATCATCTGTCATGTAATTCTCAATAGATATCATCCATTTTACATCACGGACTCACCAGAGGGTGGTCTGGGCCAAAAGACTGGACTAGAGGCCCGCAAGCAGAAGGCCTATGCGGGAGTTGAATACGATGAAGACGGCAATGCGATACCCACTGGCGGTAAGTGAATCCCCAATAAATCGTTGAGACCATCTTAACTCGATACTCTTTCAGTGGGTCGATATTGCGAATGGGAGCATCGAACTGTAGATCGTTCAGCTGAATTCGATAACTTTGAGCAGTTCAAGAGCACACTGGTCTTCAAGTGTGAGGATGGTGAGCCAGGCTATATGAACTGGACGGTGCCTATGGATGCGCCTGACACACTATATTATCAGGTAAACCCACTTGTTCACAATAAACAGAACTCTCTGTATAGCTATGAGTATCATTCCGTATTTCAGTGCTTTACCCACAATAATCTGGGCTGGAGGATAAACGTGGTGGATGCCGGCGCAAGCACAGCATCTACGACACTTCAGCTCGAACGGAACCAATTGTTCTTCTACATGATGTTAACCGTCTTCAGCCTGGTTGTTACAAGATCTAGATTGACAAATTGTTTGCTGGCTTGACAGCCAGATTGTCAGTAAACTGCTGTTTAGGGGTGTTTCAAGATCTTTTGTTAGACAAGGTGATTGCTTTGAGCATATCTAGAATACTCTATCTACATATCCTGAACCATGTTGAAAGTCTTTCTTAAACGATAATATAATTTCATCAACTATTTAAATATAAAATTCAACGATCGCCAAAAAAAAAAACAAGGATCTTGAAACATTGAGAAGAATAACAATGCAACCAGGCTAATATCATCTGAGAAAAACATATCTTCATCATAATTATTAAGGTGTAAAACTGTTGAAAACTATAGTACGTGGGTGTGTGTAAATGGCAGAGGTGCATACTTACTGCACCTAGTGTAGCTGTAGGTATACAGGTAGTAATCGCAGAAATACATGCAGTAAGGCCAATGGATCGTGCTTAGGATTGAACGAATGGATGCGCAGAGGAAACTCTTTGTATATTTACGTATATTGAACTCTACTTTTTTACGTGTCTGCAATGGGAATACGAAACTTACTTATACACTTACATTTAAAGTAAAACTTGTAATTTTTCTAGAAAAAACTACTACTTATACACATACACGCATACATATATATATATAGAGTAATATATATATATATATATATACATACATACATATATATACATACATATATATACATACATACATATATATGTATATCTATATATATATATACAAAGCGGTTCTATGTAAATGTAAACCGACAATAAAAACGCGACACTATGACAATAAATGACAATAAATGTGCGCAAAACAATTAATTGGGCCGAAGCTTTGGCTCGATTATTATTGTACAATAAGGAATTAATAATGTTAAGAGTTTGCTAACACGAGAGATATGACAATAAAAGTACTTCATATATTAATCTCAATAACAACAATTGAAAAAGAAAGAAAAAACTTACATATATAACTTTACACATTTTAAATGTAATACTGAAAGAAAACAATACTTACATATATTTAAATATGATACTATGTTATGGAATGATGTTTATTTTTATTGCTACTAACTACTGTGGTGCTTCATGTAATAATATTATTGACAATATTCGGGAGTGTTGAATAATGATGGGAATTCATCGAAAGGATTCCAAGTTTTGTTATCAAATGTTTTTCTTATAACTTTTTTAAACTCTTTGACTAATTAATGTTTTTTATAAATAAACATATACATAACTTCGGTTCGTTGCAATTATTAAAATTAATGCATAATGTAAATGATCATCTTAACTTCGTGACAATAAACAAATGTCGGATATTAAATGCTAATTGTCAACAAATCACTTGACGATTGTTGAATACGTGTATCAAAATGGAATATTAGACAATATAAAAGTATTGCAATTAAGTAATGTTTGTACTTAATACCTTTTTGGTAGGTGTACGTCTAGTTTGGGCATGGGTTTGTTATACACAAAAATAAAGAAAATAAGAATATATACTATATATATATATATATAAATAAATTGTATATACTAAAGATATATACTAAATATATCTAGTTCTCGAGTCTTTATAAAAAAGAAAATATCTTTTGAGTACAAAAAGTACTTAAAAACTATTTCTAACTTTTGTTTGATGTTTTTCTTTATACCCAATTTATGTAACATTATTTTCAACTATTTTGCATTAAAATTGAAATAAATAGCGAAAGCAAAGCAACAGAGCCATCAAATTATTAGAGATTTTGATAACAACATTTGAGATTTACGTATATTTATATACAGAGGAATAGGATTACGACCTGGGGCTCGATTGAGTTTGTAAGGCAATTGAATATTTATATAGATTATTTTTCTGCTAAGCGCACAAAAAAGTCCAAAAAAAGAAAAAGAAGACGAAAACTACAAAAAAATATAAATAAAAATGAACTCAATTTATAAATACATTTTCATATAGTATTGAATTAATCTACATGAATATAATATCAATATACATACTTATGACTTGCAATGAATAATCCAAATACATACAAACATTTCTATACAATATACATATGAATATGTACATATTTATGTATATACATATTTATGTATGTCTATAGAAGAATTTTCATGTCGATTATAAATTACACAGCTCATTCTGAACTTAAGTAAAATTAGATAGCAACGATTTTCTGCAAAAAAAAAAAAAAAAAAAAAAAAAAAAAAACAAAAAACAAATTCAAAATAAAAAGCAAACTTTCATAATCTTGCATTGAAGTCTCGAAACATAATTAATTAATATGCATGCAAGAACTATTCCATTTTAAACGGTATTAAGCCTCAGACAATAATATACAATATGTAAATCCATTGTAAGTGGAATTAAAAGGCAAAAATCAAAATCACTTGAACAACCTGCTTCGATAGAGGCGAGCCCTTAAAACAAAAACTAAGTGGTAGACAATTGAAACATTGATGTCAATAAGCAGCTTCAACAAAGTTTAATTCAAAACTGCTACAAAACATATTCTAGAAATAAACTTGAAAATAAAAACTAAAAGAAATTAAAACCGAAACAAAGAGACTTGCATTCAATTTTATTCCAATTAGAACAGATGCCAGACTTGATTGTTGTTGCTTTAATCAAATTGCTTGCAATTATCGCATGGCAACTGAGCGATTGATAAGATGCGCCAGATGCGCAGCAATTTCGACAAGAGCTGCTAGAGGCACCTGCGATACACTATGAACCTTCACCCACATGGATTCTTTTAGAATTTGGGAGCTGCGTCAGCGTCTGCGTCTGTTTTCTTGGCTATATAAGCCATGGGCTGGGTGCCGAAAAGCAACAGTCTTTAGGTATTGGATTCCAGTTGTGTGTCTAATCCGGAGCAGTTAAGCAGGACATTTCAACATGAAAATTGCTATTGCATTGTTGGCCTGTTTGGGTCTGGTCGCTGCGGCCAGTTTCCATCAGACGCACGAGGTGAAGATCGCTGACAAAGAATTTTTGGAGAAACAGAAGTTTTTGTTCGAGATCGTCTACCGTGTGGAGGATCCTCTGATGTTCGAAGAGTACATCAAGAAAGGCGAGAAGTTCTACTTTGAGCAGTCCTACTATACTGTAAGTAAATCAATTATCCTTCTAATTCACCGTTTTTAACCTTGTTCAACTACCGGGGAACAGAAATATGACAAGTACATGATGAAGTTCTATGAAGGCTACAAGGCTCATTCGCTGCTGCCCAAGGGCGAATTCTTCGGTGAGCTGGTCAAGACTCACGCCATGCAGGCACGCGGTCTCTTCAACTTCTTCTACTATGCCAAGGACTTCGAGACCTTCATGCACAACGTGTGCTGGGCTCGCATGCATGTCAATGAAGGCATGTTTGTCTATGCTCTGACTTTGGCCGTCATCCACCGTCCGGACTTCCATGGCCTGATTCTGCCCTCCATCTACGAGATCTTCCCACAGTACTTCTTCAACAGCAAATTCGTATACGAGGCCGAGAAATTCGACTATGAAATGTGGACCAAGATGAACATGTACGAGAAGGAGTACATGGATGTCTACTACAAGGATTACAAGAATACAAATATGTACCAGAACAACGACTACATGTACATGAAGGACTGGAAGATGTGGCAGTGGTGGAAACTGATGGGTTTGGGCGAACGCTTTTACAGTGAGAACAAGTTCATCCTCCGTGAGAACATCTACGAGTTCAACCAGGACACCAAATGGCAACAGATGATGAAGGATCTGAAGGTCTGGTATATGCCAGTCGACTACAGTCGCGATCTTAACATGTACAACGAGGAATCCAAACTGTCCTACTTCACCGAAGATTTGGGCTGGAACGCATACTGGTACTACCTGAACTTGGACTACTCCTTCTTCTTGGATGGCAACACCTTCGGCCTGAAGAACGATCGTCGTGGTGAGCTGTGGCTGTACACCGTCCACCAACTGCTCTCCCGCTACTACATGGAGCGTCTGTCTCATGGCTATGGCGAAATTCCCGAGTTCTCATGGTACAGCCAGATCGAGATGGGCTACGATCCTCAGCTGATCTACTACAACGGCATTGGCTACAGCTACCGCAAGAACTACTACGAGCTGGAGACCTACGGCAACTTCGAGATGCTGGACAAGATCACCGGCTTCATGACGCGTGTGCAAAATATTATTGACATGGGCTATTATAAGACCGCTGATGGACACATGATCGATCTACGCAAACCCGAATCCGTTGAGTACATTGGCAATATGATGCAGGGTAATATTGACAGCATGGACAAGATGTTCTACCAGTTCTGGTACATGTTTGCCCATATGTACTTCGCCGATGCCGACTACTACCAGATGGAGGTGTACCCCAACGTGATGCTCAACTTCGAGACCATGATGCGTGATCCCATGTACTACATGTTCTACAAGTCGATCGCCCAGATCTACTTCAAGTTCATGCACTATCTGCCCAAATACACCAAGGAACAATTGATGATGCCCGGCGTCAATCTGAAGAATGTGGAAGTCAGCGAGCTGGTTACCTACTTCGATCTGGTTGACTTCGATGTGACCAACCTGATGAACGACAAGATGGTGTTCCATGACGGCAAGTTCGTTTGGGATAAGTCGCTATACGCTCGCCAGATGCGCCTTAACCATAAGCCCTTCACCTACACCTACACTATTGAGTCCGACAAACCCGAGAAGGTTGTTCTGCGTGCATTCATTGGACCCAAATTCGACGAGTTCGGCCGCATGATTTCGCTCACAGAGAACCGCATGAACTTCATGGAAATCGATGAGTTCTACTACGAACTGAAGGCTGGCACCAACATGATTACCCGCAAGTCCAACGACTTCTACTGGACCGTCAAGGATCGCACCACCTACAGCGAACTCTACTACTACGTAATGATGGCCTTCGATGGCAAATACGATTTCCCTCTGGACATCAGCGAGGCTCACTGCGGTTTCCCAGACCGCCTCATCTTGCCCATGGGCTGGAAGAAGGGCATGCCTATGCAAATGTTCTTTATGGTTATGCCATACAGCGCACCCGCTAAACACGAACAGTTCTCCACCTTCGACTACACCTACTCTTGCGGCATTGGATCCGGCGCCCGCTTCATCGACGATATGCCTTTCGGATATCCCTTCGATCGCGAGATCGATGAGTACGAATTCTATGTGCCCAACATGTACTTCAAGGATGTTCCCATCTACCACATTGACACAATGGAGCCGTACTACAAATACAAGGGCTATACCAACTATGGTCAATTCGACTATACTTTCTTCCGTGACTACTACACCAAGTACTTCAAGCACTAAAGTAAATCAAGGACGAAATATAGAGGCACTTTTGATAATGACTACCGAATTCATATGTGGAAATGATTTCAAGAGTTAGATTGTAAGCTGAGCAAAAAGTGAATAAACTTTCGAAAGACACAAGCAAATGCATTTTCTTTTCAAATTTTCTATTGAGATGCAATTTATGAAATCCGTAGAAATACAAAATATTGGTAAATATTCTACTTATCTTTTACCCTTTAGGAATGAACCAATGAAAAATTTAAATATTCACATATCTGCGGTAAAATATTATTTGCAAACCTTTTTCATAAAATTCGG